TTTATATTGGGCCTCTTCTTCAGATCTGGCACATCCGAACCATTCAGCGGCGTCGTTGAAAGTATTCCCTGATGCAAGAATAGCGGAGACTAAGGATGGGTGTTTTTTGGATGTAACCGTTCAGAACCAGCTGCCTTGTGTACGTGAAACTACAGGTTGCTCTGAAGAGCGACTGACTGTTGCGGTACTATAGCTCCTACCAGTAAACGAAATCAGTGTTTTCCTTACAGGCAAGGATTCAGAACAATGTACTTTCTCTACAACTTTGTCTGGCATACCGTCTGGCAAGACAGATCTCACACTATTTTGCCCCGTGAGGTCTCTTTCTTTTATTAAACTGACATTCACTAATGCCGTTCTCTAGGCTGTCACAGCAGGAACTTACGTTCTTGACTCTAGTGAACTGCGAATGGCAAAGTTGTGTCTTCAATACCAGCATCGTAAACCTCCTTCTAAAATGCCCTCAATACGCAAGGAGCTGCCCCTTCTTGTACACATCCCTAAGGATCTACTTGCGTTGGAAGTAACAGTCAGCCAACCTAACAAGAGTACGCAATTTATTATACTGGTGCGCCTTGCTGAACGAAGGTCCAGTTGAGCTCGGGGAACCTTCGACGTCACTGGTCGCTGTGTCATCTGGCCGGAATCATGTGGTGAAAGCCATCATCAAGCTTGCCTCCTCTGGTGTGACCTTTCGACCAAAGGACGCATTTTATAGTGATCGTAAGCTCCTATTGAACATCTCCCTTCCAGGCTATTGGTTTGACCGCGGAGCCGTAGAACAGATATCTCAGGAGCTGAAAGTTATTGATAACTTTATTGTCTTAGAAGACATTCCTAAGCACTCGGTTGTAACGCTCGTGGTCCCCCATTCGGATATATCTGCCTTCCAGGCGATGGTAATATATTTTTGTTTGACATGAAATATGGCTTATTCAGCCACAGAATGTTGTTACGGAAATCCAATACACAACCGTGCTGGAGCCATCTCTCTCACGGACGATTCGGGCCACTCAAGTGGTCGTAACCGCGCTTCCAATATCCGTCAATGTTGAAGATTTCTTCCGTGGCTCCCGGTACAAGTCGTTTCTATGTCGTTTCTTCCTTCGAAACTCAAGAAGTTGTCACAGGCTCTTCTCGAAGTTCACCATATCTACGACAAGCCATCAACATGTCCGGATATGCACTGCACAACTAATGCCTCGAAACGGGGGACTTGATGGCGTCAAGATTTCACCGACTACAACCAAAAATAGAGGGGTGGTTGTAAGTACAAGATCACTCCCTGACATCATTTTGCTTATACCTGAACTATTGCTAGACTGTCACACCCGTTCAAACAGCGAATTTCTTGTTTCATATTGATTCTATCCATGGGCCAGGTGAACTGAAATTAGGATTGCATTTGGGTAGCCCTAATGAGTATAATCATCAGTACGCGAGCCGTTGAACCTCCTAATACGATATCGCATGCTTCGCGAAGGTAACTTGGTCCCGTCACGTTCAGTGTACTTGAGCTGATTATTATCTTTGCAGAGGTTGAATCTGTAGTGGAAGAATCTGTCACTCGAGCCCTTGTAGACTCATCATCGCCACATCAACATCGAGCAATAATCATTAACAATATCGTCAAAGCGTTGGAAAACGATGCAGGATGGGTCGACCTTTATGGTATCACTGGAGAAATCAAAATTTCACGTGTACCAAAGGCCGATCTCAGTGAGGAGGCTGCTGAGCTGCTTGAGAAAGCCAAACAAGTTCGTAACTTTCGCAAGTTGCCTTCTTTAAGTCAAGAGCTGACTAGGTCTTCTAGCTTCTTAGCGAGCACAAGCATCCATACCCACCAGTGGGTATTTGGAGGGAGATACAAATACCAGTAGATGTGCCATACATGACTGTATGTTCAGCCCTTTCCTCTTCCTTTACCGCATGCTCAACTTCTATCGAGATTGCCGCTTCAGCGTGCGTCAAGATTCTGGCCACACCGTTTAGCGATGGATCCGCCAAACCAGGTTCCATGCCTTTGTATGCCGGCCAACCCATATCGGCGTCACTATCAATTCATACCTCCTTCCACTGGGGCTCCAGTGTTGGCGACAAGGAACGACGGTACTTGCTAAGATATGATGTTGAGGAGATGGCGCGTGAGTGGCTTGTCAGTGGGCCGAAGCGAGGAGACTTTTCCGCCGCCGTAAGTCATTCAGTGAGATCGTGTGATGTTGGACACTCATCTGTTGCTCTGAGCAGGATGGTGAAACCAACGTGGTACCAATAACACTCATCGCGTTGCATCACGGGGAGTTGGCTCTGCCAAAGGTGTCGATCACGGCCTTACCGATGCCTGGCGAACTAACTATGGGTGGTTCAATGGCGGTACCTAGTATAGAGACTTCCCAAATCCACGGGGCCGAGACGGTGCTGGTACTTCCACGAGGCGGGAGAAGTACGTACATTGTCAGCATGGGGTCAAGTCCGGTTTAAATCAGCCAAATGTTCAAATGATACAACATCTTAATCGCGTGCGTAAAAACAATTCAACATTGTTTGATCCCTCCTGTGGATGGCTGTGAAGACACTCTCCCTGAAAATCCTGAACTTGGTCATTTTGACTGATATTGCTGATTCATCCCAATGTAAGAACGCTAACATAGGGTTTGGACAACGCAATTTGATAGTGCCTAGGACAAACGGCACAAGGAACAGTGTTTCTAGTGGACACAAGATATTTGACTTGTTTGTCCGACGAATATGAAGGCTTGGCTGATAGCTATTCAATATTCAATTACTACAACTATACCACGAATGAAGCAGGACGCGTGCTTCTGACAGGCCACCCTTGACGGTTCCAGCAAAGATACCGTCTGCAGGAGCTACTACTAAGGCTCATCTTCGACCAAATCTTCGTCGCCCGTTGACAATGAGCAGCGAAATTGATGATATGGACGTTGCTACGTTCCTCGTGTGTGACTACGCATAACCGGCCGGTCATGAAGCTGTGAAGGAGAATGTCGTCGTGGAGTGTAAGTACCATGAGGAGTTTTCATCACTTGTAAAACTCGCAAAATCAACGATTTCTACCCTCAAGCTTCAAGTCTCGACCTTCGCCCGTCTGTAAAAACTGTCGAAGCCATTTTCCTCCGTAGGGACCAAGAGGCTGCCCCTGGTGAAAGACGTCTACAACGACAGGCTGGTATTGGGATCCTCTTTGGTGAACGGTTCCTTGTCCTGGTGGAGGAATGCCACGCTCTTTGTCATATTCGACCAAGTCCACGAGTTTGATTGAACGTGGTTGAGTCATATAAGTATGGGACGCGAAGTAGAGGAGAGTTCCGTCGTTGTCTTTATCCTTGCCATTAACATGCATGCAAAAAAACGTCACCTGAGCGATTCGAACACTCGCGCACAAAGTGCAACCGCTAGATGCATGTAGCAGGCGATCCCGTTAACCACTCCGGCAAAGTGACCATAGCATGGAATGGAATATGTATCTGGCACCGCGGCAGGTTTGACTCTCTAAACTCTCGCCTCCTGCGTTTGTTACTTTACATTTCTAAAGTGAGTTGTGGAAGTATGGAGCAGTAAATAAAGAGGACTTCTTTTACAGTGGAAAGTGCCCTTTTGAACGTTTTCAAAAGGTGGAATCTTATGAGGTGATTTGAAAGTGATGGACCATTCGAAGGTTCGGATGTTAAGCAAAAAGCCGTCACCTGAGCGATTCGAACACTCGCGCACAAAGTGCAACCGCTAAATGCATGTAGCAGGCGATCCCGTTAACCACTCCGGCAAAGTGACTGTGCCCTTGCCTTGGGAGAAGTTCTTCCAGAACCTATGAGGTACGCCACATGTGGAATAAAACGCCTGGTACATGTAAATTTCAACCTCTGAGCCTTTTCAGAGCTCTTAGCCTGAGCGCTATGGACGGGTTGCCCAGCAAAGTTCAAGTGGTACATAGCCAGATGCCAAACTTTGTTTTAATGGTAGCGTTACACGCAAGATATTTGACCATAATAGCATTATGAAAGATAAGCAACAGCTCTGTAATAGAATAGACTATTAAACACGGTATCTAGCGTTATAAAGAACGTGCAGTCTTCTGAGGTGTTCAGCCTCCTCTCGAGGTCGATTTCGTTGAAGAAGAACCGGGTGCGCTCGGGTCGTGCCCAGGCAATGCCTTGGATCCAGAGAAATAGGTTCGATCACGACCTGCATTCGGACGGAGAAGCGACAGAATCCGGCACTAATCCCTGATGCTAGATCGACGCCCTCGCGGACCTCATGGCAAAGATCGATGAGCAAACTGGCCGATATTTACTTTTTTCATATTACCCATTTTTGTTGTTTATCGGGAACGGTGGAAACAATTGTCGGCAGGCTTTGGCCGTCCCCTTTACAGGAAGGTGGCGCTGAGCATTCGTTCAACTATCCTTACGTCTTATCCAGCTAAAGTATATGCAAACAAGGGTATCGATTTCTGACATATTAGATCGTATCTACGCCCAATAGTCACGCGGGGGGTTGTGTCCGCCATCATAGATAGATAGACTGGTGCTCTCTCGAGTCCTCTAGTACTTTGCCGTTAAATGGCACTGCTTACTACCAAAAAAAAAATGACAGCCTGGTTTTGACTCCTTCGTTCTGGGTTGGATTAAACCTGAACCCTGCAATTTGCCCTTCGGTGAACATGTGGGAGCTACTACATAACAGTAAACTCAATCACGGGCGAGGAATATCAATCCATTTCAATTTCTGGGGCCATGGACATGGACAGTCCATCATCTAAGGCTGGAACACAAAAGATAGTGATGGAAAGCACTGTGGGCTCCGCGACGGTGTGACCCCCGCGTGTCAGGATACCTCCAAGAACACAGACAGGAACCTAAATGGGCTAGTGGGAGTGCAGAGGAACCAAGTTTCAATTACGCACGTCCATTTACTCTCCTCCCTCTCTCTCTACGTATATATATATATTGAAAAAACAACACTTGCATTTACATGGCGATCGTCACCTGAGCGATTCGAACACTCGCGCACAAAGTGCAACCGCTATGTAGCTGAGGTAGCAGGCGATCCCGTTAACCACTCCGGCAAAGTGACTTTGCAAAGGCTGATCGGAGGTGGGCCGTTCCAGGTTTGGGCGGTGTGCGCCACCCTTCCTGTATGAGTAGCGCCATATCACTGGGTTATGGCGTGCCCTTCTGAAGAGGGGTCCACGTGTCCGAGGGCATTCAGCGGGTGCGAGCGCTTATTGCGCGATCTTGGATCGATTCGGGTTCAGGGGGCACGTGAAACCCCACTCGTTATCACAAAGACGTACGGCTATCTCTTTTACATCAAGAACAACAACAACAATAATAATAAAAGAAGCTTCGTCACCTGAGCGATTCGAACACTCGCGCACAAAGTGCAACCGCTATGTAGCTAAGATAGCAGGCGATCCCGTTAACCACTCCGGCAAAGTGACTATATGCTTCGTTGGCAATAGGTCGGGCCATATCGGCAGACCGTGTGTTTTGGTTGGTTGCTTGGTGAGGCCGCGTGGGGAGGTTTGTTTGATAACAGCCTGTATGGATGCTGATAGCGCCGTTGGTAATAAACCATCCATCTCCATCTTACACTTCTCGAGTGCAGCAATACTGGAACCCAGTCGACGCAGGTCGTAGTGTAAAGGTTTTCCTAACTATCAAGGGCCGGGTTGCTTACTCCCTTAAATACATACCATAAATTCATCTACGCCACACACCTCGTGCCCCAGTCAGGGGCGGAGGCAAATGTACATCTATATATCAAGAAAAATCTCAGTTCAATTGAAAGTACCGCGGAAGCATAAAAAAAAAGTCTCGCATCACGATCAAGGCACAAAAAAAGACCACAAATAACGGACAACAAAAAACTCCGTCACCTGAGCGATTCGAACACTCGCGCACAAAGTGCAACCGCTGGCGCTGTTTATAGCAGGCGATCCCGTTAACCACTCCGGCAAAGTGACCTTGGTGTTATGGAGAATGAAGTAATGACGACCGGTCACGTATGACGGAGGGACTGAATACTTGGACCGTTGTTCATATTTCGCATGAGTATATATGCGATTGCGTTCTAGACGACGGGTGCATTTTAAGGACGCAATGGTTGAACATTAATGTATCTACTATACCATACACCCTACTAGCAATACCCGTAGTAATCATAACAGTAGTTAGTACACGCCCCGCCTCGAATTGTAAAATGTGATCGTTAAGTTGAATTTGCGGTAATTTTTGGTTCATCTAGATCGAGGATGTAAGATTGTTAGTTAAAAAACTTTTAAGCCTCCGCAATGACGGGCGCGCTCGTTTCCTGCTCGATGAAGTCGCGCATGTACGCCACGAGCTGGTCAACCCATTCTTCCGTGACGGCGTTGTACAACGACGCGCGCATGCCTCCGACGGAGCTGCACACCCCCCCAAAAAAAAAGAAGCCCGTCAGCTATCGTCAATTGCGCAGGACGACCACTCACCGATGGCCCTTGAGGCCTTTCAAGCCCCTCCGCTCCGCGCCCTCAAGGAACCTCTTCTCCGCGCCCTCGCCCCTGATCCCAAACGTCACATTCATCCAGCTCCCCTGCCCCTTCCTCACCTTCGCCTCATACACGCCCCTCGCCTCGCCCTCCCCCAACACCCGATACACCTTCTCCATCTTCCGCCGATTCACCTCCTCATAATACGCCACGCCCCCGAGCGCCTTGTTCCGCTTCAGCACGAGGCCGGTGATGTACACCGCGAGGACACACGGGGTGTTCGGCATGCTGTCCTGCTTCGCGTAGGGCGCGTACGCAAGGGACACGGGGACGGGGTACCCCCCGACGCGGAGCGCCGCATCGACGTCGACGACACAGTCCTTGCGCACGATGACGATGCTCACGCCCGCGGGGCCGATGTTCTTCTGCGCGCCGGCGTAGATGATCGCGTGGTCGGCGAGGCGCGGGATGGGGCGCGACATGAAGGAGGAGGAGTAGTCCGCGACGAGCGGGAGGAGGCCGTGCTCGCCCTCTGGGAGGAGGTGGTACGGGAACGAATTGGGGTCCCCCGCGTCGGCGCTGCCCGAGAACTGCGTCCCCGACACGGTCTCGTTCTCGCAGTAGTAGATGAGCGCGGGGCGCGGGGAGAAGGTGTACCCGGTGTGCGGGGGCACACCGTCGAAGGACTTGCCGTCCCTCGAGTGCGCGCGGGAGTCGGCGGCGATGCGCACGGTCGCACCCGCGGCGAGCCGCTGGGCCTCGCCGAACGCGGCCTTGCTCCAGCTGCCGCTGATGACATAGTCGAGGACGCGCTCGTCCTCCCTTAGATCGGGGTGGAGGAGGCGGTGCCGCGCGAGCATGTTGAGTACGACGGCGGAGAACTGGCCTGTGCCCCCGCCCTGCATAAACAGGATCTCGTGCGTGGAGGGCACGGAGAGCTGCTCGCGGATGAGTGCGGCGGTAGCGTTGATGTATGCGTTGAACTCTTTCGAGCGGTGGGAGATCTCGGCGATGCCGATGCCGGTGTTCTCGAAGTTGAGGAGGCCCTGGGCGGCTTCGAGGAGGACGGACTCGGGGAGGGCGGAGGGGCCCGCGCCGAAGTTGGCTACACGCGAGGAAGACATGATGGGTGGACGATAAGATCCGATTCAGCTGAGACTGGGATTTTGTGGAAAGCGACGAGTCAACAAACCAAACACTGAAACTGACTCATGGTCAACGATCACGACATGGTGAAAGAATTTTTAATCGACTGTGACTCGAAGTGGTACAGGGAGGACGCTAAGGTTATGCTACGTAAGATCGCCCGAGGGAGCAAGGTCCATATGCAGTTGTCCGTGTGATAATACTAATAATACGCTGGGGCTAAACTAGCTACAGAAAGAGCGAAGAGGCGTATCAAACGGGATCGGGATGGGGGCAGCATTATGCGGCGCCGGATATGTGAAGACGTACAAGTAAATAAGGAGATATACACTGAGGAGCTATCGTACACTGGGTACGCAGTGGACTTGATATGTATGGTAAAAGGACGGAAAAAGATGGGCATGATATTAGTGCAGGGAGTAAGATGCGACGGGGACAATGCAGATGCAGGCAGACAGGGGGAATAGATTCGTTTATTGCAGTGGACGGAAAGCAGGCATGGAGGGGAAGAGCCGAGACACGGTGGAATGCAGACAAAATGGAAGAGACGCGTGATCATAAACAGATTGAGGTGGTGATGTTAGGGGAGAGGAGATGGTGGAAGAGGGAAGGGGGCGTGGGTGGGCTGGAGGACTGGTCGTCGCAGAGGACAGGCATGAGGTTGTGGAAGAGGACGCGGGAGGGGATGAAGCGGGAGAGGGGCGTGGTGGGGCGCGAGGGCGGTGTGGGGCGGAGGCTGAATGGGGGAGTGGTGTCGCATGGCGGGGTGGGTGCACGGGGTGTGGCACGGGACGACGGAACGAGGTCGGGGGCAGCCCTCTGACGGCGGACACTGCGGCTGGCGGGGGGATCGGGGATCTGCGAGAGATCGGCGAGGTCCGAGGGCGAGAGGGCGTCGGGGGTGCGCTCGAGGGCTGCGATCCACGGGAGCTGGTCAAAGGCGTGCGCAGGGCAGGGGGCGGCCTGTTGCGAGGGCCGGCGGCGCGGGGAGTACGGCTTGGTGCGGCGGCGCGTGGTGCACAGCGGCTGCGAGGCCGTGGCGCGGCGGGCTTTGGGCTGTGGAGCAGGTCAGCAGCAGGCCAGCGGGAATGGGGAACGCAACATACACATTCCATGGGCGGAGAGACAGTGTTCAGAATGGCAGGCATGGACAATGGACGCTTATATACAGAAAATCATAATCGAGACAATGGGTGAAAGAAAGCAAAGAAACGACAAGTCCCGAGACATCTCCAAATATGTCAATCACTCGGCTACTCCCAGGTCACGTGGTCGCAGCAGAAGGGCGACCCACACGGAGAATAACATCTCATCACAACCACAAAGGCAGTTTCTGCATTGTCTCCCATATATCTGATGGCACATAATATCCATCCCCCATACACCCTTTGCGGAAGAAGTCCCGGCGAGACGCGCCACCGTCGCCCTATCACACCCCTCAGCGCTGCACTGCGCATACCCATGTGCGCGGCGAGTCACGACCCGTCAGGGCGCTCCCTCCCACCAACCGTGGCATTTCCTTCTCGTTGGGGAACATGAAACGCGTGTCCTCTAATAGTCAGTGACAACAGTATCGTGCCGTAATACTCATCTGGACTCACCCTTAGTAGTGGCATGTTTGACGCGTTCATTGATCCTAAAATGTGGCAGCCCCCGCCCCCTCTCCGTTCTCACACCCACCCCGAGTCAGCATATCACACGACTCCCTCATTATAGATCGCACAGCAAGAAGCCTTCATTGTGTCCCATATACGTCCTTGTTTTTTTGGTTTCTGATGTGTGATTGTGATATCCTGACAGATGATGATTGACGCCCGCCCACCCACCTGCCCACATGCATCGCCGAGCTGATGAGGCGAGGGTGCTCTGCCTTCTGCGTGCACATAGGATGCATATCGCTCCACAATCAAACACAAACGCGTCCTTGTCCTTGTTCCCAGTCCACATGTGGTGTGGGGGCGCGCCACCGCCTCAAGAAGAGAGGCATCTCAACGCCTCTCCCTCTTCCGGTGACGGCAGAATCACATCCCACATCCCACGACGATCCCACCCGCGCTCGGTGCGAGCCAGACAACGGTCGTTTCTCCTTAGGCGGTTAGTCTCGGCTTCCCTATAAGTAATCATAATCACACCTAATCACGGTAAGTATGCACCGCGGCAGGGGTTTGACGCGCTCGCCGCCATACATACTTCCATACATACTTCCATACATCCGTGCATTCATTCATTCATACAGGTTGTGTCCCAAATATACGTCCCCCTTCTTATCCGACGAGGGCACCGGAATTTGCCATGCCATGCCAT